TCATGGGGGATGTCAATCTTGAGATCTCAGGCTGCCACCAGTAAAACATCTTTGGAGTTCCTAAAATTTACGGATGATAACTTTCTGACACAAAAAGCATTTCAACCAATGCAGGGTAATTCTCTTTCTTATTCAGATGGATGGATGACCAAAATAAAAATTAGTGGTTGTCTGGATACAAGTGATCATTATCTAATTTCATTTTATATCTGCTAACAGAATATAGCCCTGTCCAATAATATATAAATATATGCTTGGTGCTTTAAATAGGTAAAATTTCCAAAACTTTAAACAATCGTGAGTCAAACTGAGTGTTAAGAAAAATTTACACATAAAAGCGTAAACAATTTAGAATTGTTTGGGAATGCTTTAATGGATTCCTCAAAATGCAGGATTCCATAGTGCTTCTTTGGAATGCTTCTTTGGTTAAAAACTCGTCTTGGCCAAGAGGAGAGGTGAAAGCAGAAATTAAAAAATATATCTAACAGTGGAAAAATGCCGATAGTAGTGAGTACAAATGAGCAGTTAGAAAATGCAGTCAATTGATAAGGGATGCTAAAAGTATCAATGAAAACTCTATGGACACTGAGGTTAAGGACAAAGAGAAGGAATTATTTAAATATATCAGGAATAAACAATATCCTAAGAATGGTAAAGATCTGAAATGAGACCAGGATTGTAAAATTATCAATTGTGATAAAAAAAGGCAGACGTATTCAATAAATATTTCTGTCTGTATTCAGAAAGCAGGAGGATGTATTCACATCTTACAGTTAAAATGAAACACTTTCCATTCAATCAGTACTTACAAAGGTTGTTAAAACAGCAACTGTTACGTATCTTTAAAAAATCTACAGGACTGGATGAATTTGATGCAGGATTAAAAGAATTGTCCAAAAAGCTCTCTGAAACCATTAATTATTCCTGGAGGGATACCGCGGGACTGAGCACCCGCAGAAAACAACCACTCCCAGCGCAGATTTCCTGCTTTTCCCTGCAGAAAACAGCATGGAAGCAAAGGGAAGCCTCGTGGGGTGGGGGGGGGCAAGAGGGGTGGTGACCGTGTGTGCAGTTTTTTGTGGGGGATTGCCCCCCAAACAGAGACGAGGCATGGGCAGGGCACACAGGGTTACATGCCATTGCCCCTGCACCCGGAACCCCGCAACAAGCCCCTGTGCATCCAGATCTCCCACTGAGCTGCCTGCACCCACACTGCCCCACACAGAAACCTTTCACACCTGGATCCCCCACACTAAGCCCCTCCACACTTGGTTCCTGCTGGGCTGAGCCTGCCCAGCCATACCTGGTGCACCTGGCACAGAGGGGCAGGGCCCCAGGGTGTTTCTGGGGCAGGCCCAGCCCTTGCACTGTGTCAGAGTCAGGTGCAGCCTCACTGCCAAGTCCCTGTACTAGGGGAGGTAAGGGCTTTAGGGTGATCTCTCACCTCAACACAGCCAGTGGCCTGTGCTCCCCACTGCCATTCTGGAGCCACATTTATTTATTGACAAATAAAATTTGCATAATTTTAAAATATTGTGCGCATAATTTTTAATTTTTTGGTGCAGAATTCCCTCAGGAGTAATTAATGTTGAGTTTTAACAAAGCCTGGAACACTGGAGAAGTTCCAGAGGATAAGAAAAAGCGTTAATGTTACGCCAACTTTTAAAAAGGGTAACAGGATGACCCAGAAAACATATGCTGGTTAGCCTGACCTGGATCGTGGAAAATTTTAATGTGAGGTGCAATCAATAAAGAATAAAAGATGGTGGCATAATTAATGCAATTCAACATAATTTTATGTAAAATAGGTCTTGTAAAAATATACTATATTTGTTTTGATTCGATTGCTAGTTTGGTTGATAAAGGTAACTGTGTTGACATAATATACCAAGACTTCTGTAAGGCATTTGACTTAGGCCCTTATGACATTCTGATTATAAAAAATTAACACAGCCTACATTAAATGGATTAAAAAGTGGTTAACTGAAAGATTTCAAAAAGCAATTGTAAATGGGGAATCATCATCCAATTGGGGTGTTTCTAGTAGGGTCCTACAGGGATCTGTTCTTTGCCCAATGCTATTCAATATCTTTATCAACGATCAGGAAGAAAATATAAAATCATTGCTGGTAAAATTTCCAGAAGGACCAAAAATGGGTGGAATTGTAAACAATGTTGGGGGCAGGTCAGTTACACAGACTGACCTCTATTATTTGGTAACGTGGGCTCATCTGAACAACATGCATTTCAAGACAGCCAAATGCAAGGTCTAGGAACAAAGAGCATAAGCGACACTTACAAGATGGGGAAATGTACTCTGCAAAGCCGTGATTCTGAAAAGGACTTTGGATTCACGGTATAAAACTAATCAAGCATTAGCTGCCAGTGCAATGCTGTAGCTAAGAGGACAAACAACATTATTGGATGTCTAAGCAGGGGAATATCAAGCAGAAGAAGTGATTTTACCTCAGTTTATGGCATTAGTGAAACCATTACTGGATACTGTGTCCAGATCTGGCATCCACACTTCAAAAAGGATGTTGACAGACTGGAAAGGGTTCAGAGAAGATCTACAAAAATGAGCTGAGGTCTGGGAAACCCTATCTCGCAGTGAGAGACTGAAGAAGCTCAATCTATTTAGTTTATCCAACAGAAAGTTAAGACATGACTTGAGCACAGCCTATCAGTCCCCACATGGAGCAGAGATTTCTGATAGCAGCCAGCTCTTTATTCCAACAGAAAAAAGCATAAAGAGACCCAATGGCTGGAAGCTGAAGCTATACAAATTCGACTAGAAATAATGCTCAAATATTTCACAAGGGTACACTGGAACAATTTACCAAGGGGTATCATGGATTCTTCATCAAGTTTTTAAATCAAGACTGGATGTCTTTCTAAAATATATACTGTAGCTCAAACAAAAGTTATGGGCTTGATGCAGAAGTGATTGGGTGAAGTTCTTCGGCCTGGGTTATGCAGATGGTAAATCTAGGTGATCATAATGGTCCCTTCTGGCCTTAAAATCTAAAAATTAATTTGATCTTTTTATGTAGAAAAGTCAGTTTTCTGATAGAACCTATCAAGAATTTGTTTAACTTGGATTCCAAGTGTCCAATAGCCTGTATAGGATCACAGGGAGAAAGCTGTTAGTGGTATATGAATTGCTCCAAGTGCCAGTACACCGACCTGGCTTCTTTTGGCTTTCATAGTGTTTATGTAGTGAGATGACCTATGGCAGCTCCCTATCCTGAAACAAAAGCACCTCTCCCTAAGACTGAGAAAGCAGAGCATGTAACATTCTGCAGGACATTTTGTGAAACTGACCACCACCTAATGCCTCCTGAACTGGCTGAGGAAGCCTAACCACCACCAGGCAAGTAATGGCCGTTTAACCATGTCTGGACCAGTCTCATTTGAAGTCATGCAATTGTCAATGAATATCTGTACAAGACAATCAGCTCCAGGAAGCTCTATGAAGTGGAGTGGAGGGAGGAAAACTGAAGCAGCACTTATATCAAGCATTGCTCCTATGACAGTCAAAACTCGGGTAGGCTGAAAAGCACATTGTCGGGAATACAGCCACCAGTGCCAGAAATCTGGCGAAAACCCTGGGCACTGCACCTAGCATCTTGTTTTGAAGATTGTCCCTCAGTCTGAACCTGAGGAATCTCTAGTGCAGCTGCATTACTGAGGTATGAAAGTACTTATCTCAAAAGCCAAGTGTTTGAACCAATCCTGAGACTTCAAGAAAGGATTCTTGTACGCAGTCACCATGTGGAATTTGAGCTCTGATAGGCTAGTCGTGTCTTTTCAGATTTCAAATAAGCTCCCCTTTCTTTTTTTGGACCAAGAAAAAAGAAGAATCCTCTTTAATTCTTTAGGCTGAAAGTCTTTCTATTCTATTGCAACCAAATCCCTTCTGCTTCAACAATTTTTCATTTGAAGGAATTCCTCAAAAGGTATGTGTGTGCGTGCATGCAGCATCATGTGGAACTGAATAGCATAACTCCTCCCTGACCTTCCTATTACAGTCAAAAGCATATTTTCATAAAACTTACCCTCCGCATACAGTCTATAGTATCTACACAGCCCTATCCACCTTTCTACAAGGCCGTTCTATCCCTTCCGCCCTCTCTATACAGACTAGGGCCACTTTTATCATATTCCTGCTCCTGATGTAGGTCCAAGACCTCACCAATCACATACAATCAGACAGCTATGCTGAACTCATCCATTGTTCAGAGCCGCAGACCGGAGGAGTACCTCACTCTTGAAAGTGGGGTAGCTAGTCTACATTCATATACCTAGTGCACAGAGGAGTTGAAATAGGCATTTAAGGCACTTCTCAATAATGTAACTATTGTAAAGCTGTAAATACGGGTCTGTATATTATACGTGATGGGTTGTTGCATGGTGCAGCGGATTATAACGGTAGAATTAAAAATCTTTGTCAAAACTTAACTCTGAATACCCATAGTTTCAAACATTTATGTTTCTGGAACTGCAACGTACTATTAAGTTACATAAATACTTCCAATCTTAAATCTATTTTAAAAGGTTCTTGAGAATATATATTAAGCCATAAATTAAAACATTCTGTTACCCCAGAAATACTAACTTGCCTAACTTCTGTATAAAAATCACTTGCATTGCTTTAAAATTCTCCATGTAAAATTTTTGGACTCAACACGTCGACTGAGAGCTGTTTATAGCAGAACAGGGTTGCTTAATGATATGGGACAGGCTGGTTGTATATATAGTCATGGCTCCTCCTTGGCCCCACTTCTTCCCCACCCCAACATTTCTCCACTTGCTCCTGATAGTTCTCTTCTCCTACCATGGCACTTCTGCCAATTCCTCCCCACTCTGGCAGTGCTACTTCAGACAACTTTATCCATCATGGTTCATGACATGGAAATCAGAGGGAAATGTTCAAAGAGAAAAGCACAGACATGCCAGGAAGTCAGAAGGCCACAGGAAAAAAAAAAAAAATACTTTACCATGAACATGAGACTGCTGAAAGCTTTTTCCAGGTGCAAAGTGAAAGTTTCCAGCTACCTGTAGGAAACAGTCATCTTTCATTAAAAGGCTCCATTCTACATAACAAAGTGAAGCATTAACACTAGCTGCCCCCTTTTCAAAGGTGGATTTTCCCCTCCTATGTTACTTACCTGCTGACACAGTCACAAGTGAACCAGCTACTCCCCAAAGAACCTCCTTTTTCAAATAAAACAATCAGTACTCTTCAGCAATTTGTAGAGCAGAGATGTCAGACACCTGGCTCACAGACCAGATCTGATGTGTGTGTGGGACCTACACAGATTGTGCAGAATCTAAGTTCTCATTTAAAATATATATATTTCGACTTTTCCTGCTTGTAAAGATAATCTTTTAAATGGGAACAAAATATAACCAATGCACATGCAGCCAGCCCGAAACAATGTCTCAGAGATGTGAATTTCACCATCCACCTTAATCTCACTGGGGTGCAATCAGGAAAGACCATATGTTAATGTCAACATTAACTATTTCATTGCTGATCATTTTTAGCAGATACAGTAATGGGGAGGGCGTAAGGGTGAAGTCCATAGGAGTAGAACTGAAAGTTGCTGCAGGGAAGATGAGAGGAGACCCCTAGGAAGGGGGAAGAAAAACAGAAAAGGAAGATGAGGAAGGAAAATAAAGTGGAGTAACACTGTTGGTCCTAAAGGGAAACATATATTCCCAGAGTGATGCTCTGGGGATACTGAACAAACAATAAAGACAACTAAAAGTTCAGCCTGGGATGTTAAAAAGGGGCTTCAGGGGGTTAGGCACCAGTTCCACACACTTTCTATAGCAATTGGACACCTAATTCCCTTGGGGCCCTTTGAACATCCCAACCTTCCTTTGTAGACAAAGGCTAGCTAAAAGGAGAGTCATCCAGTCCCTGCCATGTGTGTTCTGTACTGGGCCTTTCCGCGATTGCTTAGACAGCATATAGAGCTAGTCGCCATGGGTCAAAAATCCACCAGCCTCTCTGTCCCCAGACTTTCTGAAAGGTCCAGCCAACAAAACACAAGAGGCCATTCCTTTTTATTGCATTTCTTTCTCCAATTTGCAAAACTATCTGCTGTATTATTTAGGTTCTTATGTTGCACTCAGCACTGAGCACCTAACAATGCCCAAAGAGCCTAAGTCCCAGTACCATAGAACTGTGGAGACATTGTGCAAAGTGGGGGAAGGATGGGAATTCCTATCCTCTGCCCTCTCCTGGTCACTGACAGTGGTGGGATTTCAGGTGCCTGGCACAGCTTAGAGTTCAAGGGAAGCTCTCTCTCACCTTGTTGACCTCTAAGAATCCATACACTTGGCAGCCCTCATTCTTCTGCTCCTGCATTTTCTGGCTGAACCCTTCTCTCTTGCATTGTTCTATAGTGTCAGGGTTCTTGAAGGCCCAGCCACGCCGCCTGTATGCTTCTCTCACATCATCACAGGAATTACAGCACCTGCAAAAGCACAGGCACCATCTCACTCACCCCGAATGGAGGACAAACATAAATCAAGAACAGAGACCACAAAATGTGGGCCAATCTCTCTGCAGAGGACACAGAAGCAAATTCTCCTTCATACTGGGGCTACTAGTCTTGCTCAGCAGATGGTCTCTGGGTCAAGGAAAGACTAAATTCCCAGAACTGAAGCTGTCTATCCACCTAGCTGCGCAGCTTTGAGTCACTACCTTCCTGAAGCTGACAGACATCAGAGGACCTCTGCATTCACAATAGATCTCTGAGGATCTTCCCAACGGACCAGACTCCCTTTAGAACATGGTTATATCACTTTTTAACCAGCCAGAGAAGTCCCATAAACAGGTCTGTTAATGCACCTCTCACCTTACTGGCTTGGAATCTCCCCTCAATGAAGAAACAATTCACTCCTGAGCTGCACCCACACTAGTCCACAGGTCTCAGGCCAAGGCTTCCAAAGAAACCCCCTTCACTCCCCTGCATCAAGGGGGGAGACCAGAGTGGACCCTGGACAGAGGACTATGGTTTCTTTATTCTTTGGAAATTTTTGTTAGCTGAGAAGGGGAGTCTGGAGGGCTGAATTCCCCATCCTCCAGGAGACAGCATCTCCAGGCAGGGGCTGCAACCAGATGGATAATTCTAAACCCAGAAAAAAAAAAAGCAGGGGAGGAGAAAGAAAGAATCCAAGACCCTGTGGGCCAGATTCTGATCTGTTCTTGCAGGAGCATGCAAGGAGATGGGGAGAGAAATGTAGCACCAGTTTGCCCCACACACAGAGCTGCAGGCAAACATGATGAACTAGCCCTGAGTGTGGTCACAGCTAGTGGGGGACCCTCTTCCTTTTATACCCTGAGAGCCCCACCCAAGGGGAGAGGCCCCAAGGGACACTTCTTTCCAGTATGATCCAAGCTCACATGCCCAGAAGTGCTTAGCCAAAAACTGTAGATCCATATGGGAATTCTTGAAGGAAAACTCACACACAATATGGATTCATTCAACATCTGGGGCAAATGCTGCTGAGAAGTCATGGAACAGGTCCCCCACTTCACTCTCTGAGATCAGGAGACCAGAGAATCGTGCACTCACATACACAGACACACACTCACTCTTCCCCCCCCCCCATCAGGAGAATAGAGAAGTACGTGGGGTCTGTCACAAACCAGGAGGTTATGGAAGTGTGGGCTCACCCACTCAACCTCTCAGGGTATTCGGGAAACACACACTCGCACCCCACTTCCCCACCCAGATCAGACCACCACAGATGTATCATTCTACCCCTCTCCTCCAATTCTGGAGATTATGAATGTGCACACACCCCATTCCCGTCAGATCAGGATTAGCATACAGCCCCCTCCCTAAGTAAGGAGATCAGGGAAGCCTTGATTTACCGGATGTCCTCCGACTCTGCTCCATAACAGCTCTCACAGCGATCAGCATCTAAGGAATCTGGATCAAACACTTTCTCCTCCTCTTTGCCCAGCTCTGAAACAAAATAAGATTTCCAAATAGTGTGACAGTTTTATGAATATGTCTCTGTGTCATTTTATGAATTTAACTGTGATTTGTATCACTCATGATCACACTCTGCATTGTGGATTAGAACAGGGGTGGGCAAACTATGGCCTGGGGGCTGCATCCAGCCCTCCAGACATTTTAATCTGACTCTCTTGTGCTTTGTAACAGTAAACTCTGGATGTGGATAAGAAGTTCCTGCACATCCCTTACTTTAATTGCTATGTGCCCCTGAAGAGTTAAACAATAAACTAGAGAGGTCCACAGTGAGTTGGAGTTCTGGTATACACAAGCTGCTGGGGAGGCTGGGGAGTGAGGTTTGGCACAGCTCTCGGGGCCAAAGGCAGTTGGACTGCAGAGTCCTGTCATGCCAAACAGGGGCACCAGACAGGAAGTCTGTACTGTGGGAGTCCCCAGGAGACCAGAACTAGAAACATGATGTGGACACTGCTCGGATCAAGTTGTCTGGGAAGCATGTGGGATCCAGAAGTTGGATCCAATGCAGCACACTGGTGACCATCCAGTAGGTTGTAACAAGTTATACCAACCCTCAGGAGTGTGGCAGTCAGTGTGGATCAAGAACATGGATGAGCTCTGTGCCCTTCTAGTGCTGTCAAGAGATCCAGACATCATTCCTCCCCGCTGCATTTACCTTAAAGCACTGGGCCCACACTCACATTAGTCTTTTCATCCCTAAGATTCCCCACCACTAACTTCAGTGCAGCTCCACTGACAGTACCAAAAGTGTGAATTCCCATACAGACAGAACACCACCATGTCATCTGGATTTGCTCTGAGCAGAGTAGGGGCATGATGGTCGAAGCCCACCAGCATCTTGTCCACACCAGTGCTCCCTGTACTAATGTTCGCAAAGGGAATACATTTTTGAGGAAAGAGACTAGTGTAGGCAGTCTAAGTAGCTCACAGCTTCTGTGCAGATGTGTCAGCTCCAGAGCTGAGGGCAGCCTCTAATGTATTCCAGCAATGCAAGGACCAGGCCCCATGAAATCCCAAAGAACAAAAAAAAGGAGAAAATAAATGGCACAGGGCGACAGACACTCTTAAACCAGGCTCAGTCACAGCCTCAGGGCAGGGCAGACCCTTGAAGAGCACCCATCTCTGCAAACCCTCATGCACATCCCACACCACTGCGCTTGAGACAGCAGCATTACACTGCTGTCAACTCTCTGCTCAGAGTTCAAATACCCTTCGGCTGCCACTTCAGTCCCAGGGATTCCCTATGAAAGGCAACAGAGGAAGACCATTGGCAGTCAGTCCATTAGAGCATCCAACAGAGGAAGGCAGCAGGACATTGTACTACCGTGTCTCTCAGCCTCGGGGGTCACAGGATTGCCATCTTTATCCAAACGTTGTTTAAAGAGATTGTGCTCCACATCTAGCTGCTGCTCTCCTGCCACATCCATGGCATCAATGCTCAAATCTAAGACCAGGAAACAAGGTGAATTAAGGAAGGTTCTTTGTGATCTGAGATGGCTTATGGAAGCAGCAAGCCAGTGAGAAACCACGAGCCTATTAACAAGGGGGAGATCACCAAGGCAGAAATCTAGGATGAAGAGTTCATCTGCAGATTAGGAAAAAATCAAGAAGTGGAAGGGGACTGGCATAAGAGGCTGCATTGTGGTGGCTGAGAACCTCAAGTTGACTCAAAACTGCACCCCTGCATTTCAGTCTCTCCTGCAAACAAGGCTCTTGGGCTGCTGTCCAAGAGGGATCCTCTTCAGCTAGCTTTAATGTAAGTCATATTTTCATCTGGGCAGATAAACTCAGGCTAAATAACCTGCCCAACCCTTTGCAGATACCTCAACCTGCTGGTCAAGCTTGAATCCATTTGGAGAACTCCCCCACCATTCCAGTCCCAGCCACTCTCTCCTGTGGCCCCTTTCCCATTACCTTTCACCAAAGGGTATCAGATAGTCTTTGCTGGGCCCTAGTGTGTCACTTGGGGGGCTTGCCTGTTACTTGGGGACACAATGTCAATGTCTTCCCAGGGAAAGGAGCTGCCAGACCTGCTGGACTCTCCACTCCATGTGAGTGAGTGAGTGAGTGTGTGTGTAGTCTGAGATTGGAGTAGGGGAAGACTCCTCCCTAGGGTGATAGTATCTTTTGCAACTACATTTCAATGGGTTGATCTGAGACAGAGCACAAAGAACTGCCCACCTTACTAAAAACAAAATAGAAATTGCAGTGTACACTTGGGTAGTGGGATTTTTAATCACTTTCACTTTGCAGTTAAATTACCAAATCCCTATTCCTCAGAGGAAATGTGAAGCTCCAGTGTTCATACCTTAGCTACCTGTGACCAAGAGTCTGAAAAATTTTACATATAAAAATATTCTCCCCTCAAAAACAGCACAAATAGCTGAATGGATTTAGTTGCAACAAACCTCACAATTCAGCTAAGAAGTATTCAGATCAATAGAAATATTTTGGAAGAAGTTATTACAGAGTGAAAAATGTGTCACATGACATCAGTAACATAACTGATTTAGTTCCACATGACATTAATGTACATGTTCAGAATTTAAACATAAGAGTAAAAATCAGTAGCTGGTCCCAAGAGCTACTCTACAGTGTCTTCCATAATAGGCTCTGCACATTACAAAAATGAACAGCAACTGGGACAAGCCCATGGGAGCAGTATTATACTCCTTTCATACAGGCTCTTCTTCTTCACACGCAGGTCTCAAAGTACTTTACAGAAGTGGATAAAGAGCTTTATCCTCATTGCACAAATTAGGAAACACACTCAGAGAAATGAAGCAACTGGACCAGAGTCCTACTGTGTCAAATGACAATGCTGGGAACAGAACCCAGGAGTCCTGACTGAATTCCCTGTTCTAACTACAGGGGAATGTAATTCCTTACTGCTGACAAGACAAGCAGCTGATAGCAAATCGAAATAATGCGTGCACTGACTGACCAGTGTTCCCAACCTCCAGCAGAGCATGAATGCTGCCTTCTTCCCAACTCTTTAGAAGACTTACTTACAAGCACAAGGCATATGCGGAAAGACAACATCTATATTAATCTTCAATTTGTCTCCTCTCGATTTGTCAACGTACAGTTCAGGATGAACCTAGGAACAAAAAACAAAAGTCTCATTCCACCTGGAAGCACATAGCAAGGCCTTTTCCCTTGCCTTCTCCCCAGGTGCTATGCCACCATGCTTCCAAAGGCCTCCTCCACATGGGGTGCACAAGCTGGCACCTTCCAGAATGCTGTGACAAAGCAGTTGAAGCGGCTTCCAAACCTGGCTGTGCTTTTACGATGTGTGACGCTCCTAGCCAGCAAAGTGATAATTTGGGGATTTAAATTAAATAAAAACAATTTAAAATATTTTCTTTTTGCAATTTCTTCCCCACTATTGAGTCTGCAAGCGGGAAACTGGTGGCTATCTCCTACTGGTGACATAGGAGAGCGCTCCATTCACTGCAGATGCTGGAGGAATCAGCAGCCCAGTATGACTTCTGATGCCTTCTCCAGAAAGGGGATCCAGGCCTTAGTGGAGTTGACAGGTACAGAAAGCCCAATCGGAGGCACAGGAAGCCAATGCTAGGGTGACCAGGAGGGGAAAGAGGCTCCCTGCAGGGCCAGTGCCCATCTTCTTTGAGATATGCAGGAGCAAAGAGGAAGAGAGCAGGAACAGCAATTCACTCTCATCTCACCAGACGGGCTGCCAGCAGGGCCGGTGCCAGCTCAAAACTCAGGAAAGCAAAGTCTTAGTGCAAGTCACTGATCCTACTTCCTTCCCTATTTCACAACAGAACTAGACCAAGCACTGCAAACCGCTGCATCTGTGGGGCAGGAATGAGTATTAAATTCTAGCCACCATCATAGCAATGAGGCAGGCCCTCTGAGCCACCTGGGCTGCACAACCTAATGACCGGAGACAATAAGGCCACCCACGAACACAGGGCGGCGTGGCCTAGTGGCCAGAGTCAGTACAGCGGCCCTTGAGTGCAGGGCAGTGTGGCCTAGTGGCCAAACCCAGGGGCCATCACCAAAGGAGGAGCAGCCAGGGTGGGGGGACCCAGGCCCACCCGACTCCACTGGGTCCTGACTCAGAGCCCTAACAGGCAGAGTGGTCCACCACTGGGTCAGTGGGGAAATCCAGCCACAACATGCTGACTTTCCATGGGTGGAAGATACCACTTACCCCACCTCCCTGGGTCACTTCCTACTGGGCTTCCTGAAGCTGAGGTCTATATGACATCAGGGTCTCTGGGCTCCTCGTCACAGGTAACTCCCTTGGATTTCGACTCCAGCCAGTCAGCTGTAGGCCACAAGCCTCCGGTCTGGGCCGCAGGATCTCTGCTCCCGCAGACAAGGGCTGTAACGGCTCCTGGGCTGGAGCCTCCACCAAGTGTCCTTCCTCCTTACTGAGCTGGGCTGAGCTCCTTTGTACTAGCACAGCAGTTGGAGTATGATGAGCATGGTCTGCGGGGCAGGACTTCCTCTGCTCAGTGTGTGGGATTAACCCTTTCCTGCCTAATGCGGAGTATGAACACCCCGTCACACCATGGAAAAGGCGAGATAATGTGTAGCTACAGAATGGTCCTGTGCCTTGCAAAACTCAGGAGCCTGGCTCAGCTGTTGACAAACGGTGAACCTTGGTTGAACATGTGGCCCTATCTGCTTCCCAGGGCTCCAGTAGGACAGCACAGGGAAAACATAAACCCAAAAAAGACAGCAGTACAAAGCTCTACTTACTTCCTTTGTGAGGTAGTACTGCAGCTCCGAGAAGAAAAGCAGGAGCATGATAAGTCCACTGATTACTGTCACTGCAAATGAAGAATGACAAACATTACCACGGGCTGTGGACTCACTAATCTGCTGCCCGACTCCAGTGAAGAAAGCAGCTGGCATTACAGTAGGTGAGAAGAAACCAGTAAGCTCCTCACGAAAATCGCTATCCTCCCCCCATATGCTCTGTAAAAAACACATGCTAATAGCCCAACACAAATGCCATTTAGACAGTAGACCTTGAAGGCTAGGCCACAAAGCAAATCCCTGCATTTCAAAGTTATTAAAGAGGAGAGTGAACCAGTACAGAGTACCAAGACAGGAGCTGTTTTCATCCATTTGGGCATAGTCCTCTTCTCCCAGCCACCAAAGGAAACATTTCACATAGAAGAGATGCTTTCTAGTGTGACTGCAGCCCCAGCCAGACCACAATTAGACCTTTATTTGGATAATGAGAGCATCCACAGTCACCATAGTTATGATTAAAAAGAACATAAGAACAGTCATACTAGGTCAGACCAAAGGTCCATCAGTATCCTGTCTTCTGACAGTGGCCAATGCCAGGTGCTTCAGAGGGAATGAACAGAACAGGTAATCAGCAAGTGATCCAACTCCTGTCACCCATTAGCAACTTCTGGCAAACAGAGGCTCGGGACACGATCCCTGCCCATCCTGGCTAATAGCCATTGATGAACATATCCTCCATGAATGTATCAAGTTCTTTTTGAACGCTGTTATGGTCTTGGCCTTCAAAATATATTAAAAATAAATTATAAATATTATATAAGTGGAGCTGGTAGCACTGCCTATATTTCAGGCTGACTGACACTTCACATTAGAAGACTCTGTTTTCAGTTGCTTATAACTTTAACCATTCAGGATAAAAAATTTCCATGCTTGGTGTCTGCCTTAGGCTGAATTTGTTTTGGAAAGTTTCAGCTGAAAGAGTTCAGCCCTTTCTGGGATTAAATTAGGGAAAATATATTATTCCGCCCAAGCTAAAAAAATCTTACAACCATTTTGTTGAGACACAGTAGAGACTCTATGCTTTGGAAAAGAGACTTGGAATTTGGGGTCTCCCTTGGGTCAGAGAGGTGCCTTCTGACATCCCCATGAAAATTCAGCCAAATTTGGCCAAGCTATAAGCCTCTGAAAAATCTGTCTGTGCATGCTCAGTAGAGACTTGTTAGAGTTTGACAACTAAACTATCCAAAGATTCCATCTGCACTGAGCATGCTCTATCCCCTCCCAGCTCTGATGTGCTGACCACACTGAATGTGCCATTCCCACAGAGCAACTGAGCATGCTCCAGTCCCATGCTACAGCAGCGGAGTGGGATTTCCCTGCAATATTTACTCCTGGCTGCCAGAGGTCACGGTGGCACAGGGCACTAGAAGTGAGAGCAAGTACAGACCCTCTTCTGTGCTCTCAAATTGATGCTCTCCCACCTGGAGCCCAGTCAGCCTGAAGAAAGAGGAAGCTGCCTCCTTGGAAGTTGAGGATTGAGAAATTGGAAGGATAGGGAGCAGAGTAGAAGCACGGGGGAGAGAAGGGCAGGGATATGAGAGAATATATAGTGCAGGACGTGCGTGTGCGTGTAGAGAGAGGTTGGACAGCAGCTGGGGAGGGGGCGGAAACCTCTGAGGGGATTGGATAGGAGCAGGAAGATGGGGGGGATGGATAAGCGCTAAAGGGGAGGAGGTCAGAAGAAGAGGGAGACAAGGACAGGCTAGGCACACAGGGGCAGAGGAGTCTATAACCAGCACAGCACATTCCCGTCCAAGAACCTGGAACCGAATCCAGCTAGCGAAAAGGGGGCAGCAAACAGGCAAGCTTGAGAGGGAGTTTGGAGGGAGAAAGAATACAATCACCATAATTTGGAAAGGTCGCATCGCCAATGCCAACACTGCTCCTGGCTCTTCCACCTGCACCTGAACCCAACCATGGGTGCCTCTACCCGGGCCTTGGTGTGGATTTGCGGACACTGTGGCCTACGTTTTCCTGTCATAGAAAGCCAGGCTGGGGAGACCAGACAATGTGAGAGATGCCTTCTAGTAGAATCTCTCAAGATACAGGTTGGAGAGCTACAGGAGGAGGTGGCTAGGCTGAGATGCATCTCTGGACACAAGCAATTCCTTGAAAACATGCATATGGAGACCTCCAAGGCTGAGGAACCAATCCAGCTGGAGAAGACTGCAGTAGCACCACCAGGGTAGGAGGAAATGGCTCCTTCACACGGAGGAAGAGAAGCCATGTACCCACAAGGCTGGGAAGATCACAGCCACCATTCCCAAGCAGGGTGCCAACTTTCTAAACGCACAAATCAGAACGTCCTAGCCCTGCCCCTTCACAAGGTCTAGCCCCCCCCCCTCACTATATTCCCCCTCCCTTGGTGGCTCACTCTCCCCCACCCTCACTCACTTTCACTGGGGCAAGGGGTTGGGGGGGGTGAGGGCCCTAACTGGGGGTGCAGGCTCCAGGATGACATAGAGGCTAACAAAGCCCACCATTGCTACCAGTTACTCCATTAACTCAAGTGGTGAAGGTCTGTGTTGTGGATCTAAAGATCGTAATCCTTCTGATAGCACAAGTTGGGGTTGAGTATGGTTCCACATGATGAAATGTCTGTTTTTCAGTGTTTGTTTTGTTTTTTAAAAATAGGAAATTTAAAGTCATTTATTTTTGTTGCAAAGAACATTGAAGTTTCAAAGTCAAGCACGCAAGGACACACACGAGTTAAAGTTCTCCTTGCAACCTTAATTCACCCCCATCACCAGTGTGTCTGCATTATTATGCCGTCTTTAGTTACATGATCACATACTATTCTTTCCACAGAAACCCTGCCTCATTCATTGCACAAGATGGTTGGTGTGACAGATGCAAGACTTTGGAATCATGGATATCCTATGCCATGGGATTAGTCAAACTTTTAACACAAAAATGGCCATACAGGATCTGACTAAATGATCCATATAGCCCAGCATCCTGTCTTCCAACAGTGACCAGGGCCGGGTACTTCAGAGGGAAAGAACAGAACAGGACAATTATTCAGTGTCATCCAGTCCCAGCTTCTGGCAGTCAGAGGTTTAGAGATACCCACAGCATGGGATTAAATCCCTAATCAGTCCCCTAATAGCCATTGATGGACCTATCCTCCATGAATTTATCTAGTTCTTTTTTTAACCCTGTTACAGTCTTGGCCATCACAACATCCTCTTGTAATGAGTTCCACAGGTTGACTATGTGTTGTGTGAAGAAATACTTCCTTTTATTTGTTTTAAACCTGCTGCCTGTTAATTTCAAAGGGTGACCCCTGGTTCTTGTGTTATGTGAAGGGGGCAAATAACATTTGCTTATTAACTTTCTCCACACCATTCATGATTTTATAGACATTTATCATATTCCCCTTAAACGTCTCTTTTCTAACATGAGCAGTCCCAGTCTTTTTAATCTCTCCTCACATGGAAGCTGTTCCATACCCCTAGTCATTTTGTGGCCCTTCACTGTACTTCTTAAAATTCAAATGTATCTTTTTTGAGATGGGGTGACCAGAACTGCACACAGTATTCAAGATGTGGGCATACCATGGATTTATATAGTGCCATTATGATATTTTCTGTCCCTTTCCTAACAGTTCCTAACATTGTTAGCTGTCAGTGCACACTGAGCACATATTTTCAGAGAACTATCCACAGTGACTCCAAGATCTCTTTCTTGAGTGGTAACAGCTAATTTAGATCCCACCATTTTGTATGTATAGTTGGGAATTATGTTTTCCAATGTGCATAACTTTGCATTTATCAACACTGAATTTCATTTGCCATTTTGTTGCCGTCACCCAATTTTGTGAGATCCTTTTGTAATTCTTTGCAGTCAACTGTGGATTTAACTATCTACAAATGTGATATGTAACTTTGTGAGCTATAGACATTATTCCAACCCATTGCAGAAGGTTACCGAGTTTACCCCCAACATCTTAAATCAATGAGGGTAATTACTGCAAATCCTGGGACAGGTAAACAACTCCAGAGAAGTACTAATCTTTGGAAGGTACACAGACTGGTTCAACCCTGATTTAAGAGATCCACGAGACAAAGAAAGAGCTTGTGGCCAGAAGGATCAGCCTGAACTGGCTGAGGTTCCTCTGATCCAAGAACTGACATGAAACTATAACCAAGAGGACAAAACCCTGCTGGAAGGGTGTGAAGGACTGGAACCTGCCAGAGTCTCTGTGTCAGAAGATGGCCCAGTAAACCAGCATGCAATGGAGACTGTTTATTGCTTTATTATGTTTTCTCTGTAATGCTTTTGTCCTAAATAAGTTTATTATGATTTGTGGAAACTATCTGGTCACTGACAACTCTGGCATAGTCCCTGGCAGAGGGGTGTTGGACAAAGGTCAGATCTGCTGTGATAATCACAGCGAATTGAAGGAGGACTGCAATCCTTGATCTGAAGGGACAGGGATGCAGGTCCCTGCCCAGAGAAAGGTGAGGAGACCACAGAGGGGGCAGAGATGCAGTTAATTCTAGAACTGAGAGATGGTGCTCTGGGGACAAATCAGGGTTGTGTAGCAAAGGATGTTGTTGCCTATAGGATCCCTGCTGGAAGGCATGTTCTATTTGTGGGTACCGGGACAGGCAGATCTAGGCCCACACAAAACTAAAGGTCAGCCTCCTCAGCTAAGGGGGAGGAACCGCTACGCCCAAGCCGCGAGTATAGGGGACAACAAAGGAGAAAATGGGAGCGAGGTCAAAGATTAATAATCAAGGAACCAGAAGGGGACATTGAGCAGAGAACCCTCCTCAAAGACATCTAAAGAGTCTGTGGATACTGCTTGGAGGAACTCTACCTTGAGACATGATCAGACAAGGGACCAGAAATAGGCCCCATAGTCACAGAGTACCCCCATCCAGCTTCCTCCTCCTGGAGTGATGGATGGCTATGTTGTGCAGTGCCAGCAGGAGGTTGACAAGGAGGTCCTGAAACTTTGTAGGATCATGGATGGGGTGTGCAAGAATTAGGAAGTATGGGGAAAAGTGCACCTAGACCTCAATAAGTTTCTGGGGGAGCTAGAAGACGGGCTGCAACCTGATGCACTCTACACAGATGTGGACCAGGTTCTCCCTTTCACCACAGAATGGACAGGTACACACCCATGCTCACAGCTCCATGGAGGAGCTGCCAACTAATATTGCTGGTGGATTGTGGAAGCAGAGTAGAGTACAGACTGGCCCACCTTCCTTAGGTGGCAACAGGTCCCACCATTTAGTGTTAGGGTGGGACATAAGAGCAAGGAAGTGGATGGTGTACATGCTTGCACTTCACATGTTCCCTGGGTGCAGTTCAGAGGTGGACTGGCTGGATGTTGTTCAGGCAACTCAGGTGGCTTGTCAGGGGCAGCCAGGGAGGTTCACAGGGCAGGAGCAAAACGAGTTCCAGAGGCGAGTCAGGAGCACCCTCCTGCAAGACCTGCTTGAGGAAAGCAAGAGAAGCAGGAGGTAAGGCCTCTCAGCAGGGAAGTTGGGCAGAGAGCCCAATTTAAGAACAAAGGACTGGAAGGTGCGCAGTGGGGCTTCTAGAGGAAGCTGGGAATTCTCTCACCTGGGAACTGACACAGAGGGTCAAACTGAGAGAGAGACAGAGCCTGAAAATAGGGTTCACTACAGCATGGCTGGGGCTCTGGGCTGAGCAGACTGGACTGTGCTAAGCTTCACTTCTCTGTGCTAACCTAATGCTGTGTGCTAATCCATGCTGTGTGCCAGGGGACTAATAAATCCAACTGGTTTGAAACACTGTTTGAGTGTCCCTCTGAATACTTGGTGAGGTGCATTAATCCCTGCAGAGCGGACAAGTCTCTCCCAGAAGTCCGTCTCGGTTGGACTCGCTGAACAGAGCTCACAGAGGTTCAATCTTAGGAGGCAGTGAGGCCAGGTGTCCTACCCTGAGGGAAGAGTGAGACCCCTGGGGGGTCTGGCACATCAAAGGGGTTCCTCCAAGAGACTGCTCCAAACCTGGGGGTGTAGCACTGATCTTGTGGCTCCATGACACTATCTATTCCCTGAATGAGGCAAGGGTCCTGTGGAAAAAATAGTATGGGATCATGTAATTAAAGACTGTATCACGACATACACCATTGGCAGAGGGAGGAGGATTACGGTTCCATGGTAACCTTAATTCTGATATTTCCTAATTTTGTAGGGCTTGACTTTGCCACTTTAATATTCTTTTAATGGGGCAGTTTTACCTCTATTATGTAAACATATATATTTGCATAAGCAAACCCTCCTGCTTTAGAGCACCAGCCAACAACTGGCAGAACTAGGCAGTAGCTTCCCTATATCATGGTTATTCCATAGTGGCCCATTGGGAGGTTTCTTGTTCTTTTCTCTGAACTAGTTTGTACCGGCCTCTGTAGGAACAGGCTACTCGATCGGCTGGATCACTAGTTTGCTCCAAAATTCTGCACTACAGAAGCCTTACATATGAATACTTGGCTCTCCTATACAGGTCTTTCTTACAGCAAAATGCAGTCTCTTATGACTTACTTAGTTCAAATAGATAAGATGTTTAAGCATGCCTGTGGGACTCCCAGCATCTCATTATGCCTAAAACTCCCAAAATAACACAACTAACAAAAGAACAAGAGCTTACTGAGCCTTGCCTGGAAGGATGATACAGACAGAAGGGAGATAAACACTTTATTTGAAGTTTTAAATCTGAGGTGAGGAGTCAAACATTATGCCCACTGGCCACCTTCACAGTTAAAAGAGGATGCAGCCTCTTCTCTGTCACTGCAAAACAGGATCCAGGCCAGGTTCTGGGGCCAGAATGGCGACTGAACAGCCTCCACCCTACCCCATCCCTCACTGCTGTTGCTGGCTGTGCTGGTACTGGTCAGGTTACTCCTCAAAGCAGGGATGGAAGAAGGAACAGAGAGAACAAGAGGAAAAGAGGAAAATGGGAAAAGGAAGCAGGGAGACAATCAGAAGGAAGGTGTGTGTGAACAATAGAGTGAGGGAATATATGCCAGTCCTGGCCCATTTGTTACCACCTCTGGCCCACAAACTCCAGCTGGAAACATCAGTCTGGCTTTGGGATGATCGGACACTATCTGCCCTATGTCAGGGAGGGATGTTCTGCTTTGTAAGTGATGACAGGGACGGGGAGGCTGGGGCTGTTGTGTTTCTGGGTGGAGGGCTGGGTCCTGCTCTAGGAGGGAGGAGGAGGAGGGGAGGCTGGGACTGTTGTGTTTCTGGGTGGAGGGCTGGGTCCTGCTCTAGGAGGGAGGAGGAGGAGGGGAGGCTGGGACTGTTGTGTTTCTGGGTGGAGGGCTGGGTCCTGCTCTAGGAGGGAGGAGGAGGAGGGGAGGCTGGGACTGTTGTGTTTCTGGGTGGAGGGCTGGGTCCTGCTCTAGGAGGGAGGAGGAGGAGGGGAGGCTGGGGCTGTTGTGTTTCTGGGTGGAGGGCTGGGTCCTGCTCTAGGAGGGAGGAGGAGGAGGGGAGGCTGGGACTGTTGTGTTTCTGGGTGGAGGGCTGGGTCCTGCTCTAGGAGGGAGGAGGAGCAGCGCCTTGGGACCGTTTGTTTGGAGTGGTGTTGATGGTTCTCACCATGCAGGCAGGGAGGTGGCTCTTCTCTTCTTTTTACACGAGCACAGGCCCTTTATTCCAGCTCTGGCAGCGAGGGGCTGCCGTGGGTTGGGTGACAGCTTTCCCCTGCGCACGGGGAAGTTCACCTTGGTGACTATGGAGGTGAAAGACTCAGGGAGGAAGAGAGAAGGAAGTAGCTGGACTTGCAACGACCTATTCCTCAGCCTGAGCGGGAGGGGACCAGGCTGGGGCTGTCGGCCCCCGGAGGAGGGCAAGAACCTCGCGGGGGGTATTTTTTCTCCCACAGCGATCGGGCTGCCAGGGGTTTTCAGCTTGGGCCGCCGCGGGGTGGGGTGAAGGGAAGGGGGGCGTCTGTCGGCGGGGGAAATGGGGGAAATCAGGCGGCTTTTGCAGCCGGCTCCCGGCGGAGGTGAGAGCCCCGCTGAGGAGGCGGATCGAGGCAGAGGCGGCGGCTGAGGGCGGGCACCAGCTGGCGGCCCCTCGGCGAGGGCTGGTCTCGGCGCCGGCCCCGCCGCCCCGGCACTCGCCAGCCCCGCACGGCGACGCATCGCGGCCGCCGCCGTCCCCGCCCCTCCCCGCGCGCGCCCCCGCCCCTCACCGAGCGCGCCCCCGCAGGTCTTGACCCGAAAATCCTCCAGTGTCTTGGGAAACGCATCGAACCGCTTCAGCCTCCACAGCGAGTCCATGGCGGCGGCGGCGACCCCGCGTCCAGCGCCGGCCCCGCCTGCGGGGCGGAGCACTCGGCCCTGTGCCCCGCCCCCGCCGCAGGGCGGCCTGGGAGCCCGCGCGGGGCTGGGTCGGGGCGGAGTGACGTGGGGAGCCGGGGCCGCGCGTGCGCGCGCTCACCTCGGGGTGTTGGGCGCATGCGGGTATCGCCGGGGGGTCATCAGGTGACATGGGGCGTTTGGTGACACTGTCGGTGGGGGTGACGTGGGGTGACAGAGGGATGTGGAGGTGTTGGGTGACATGGGGCGTTTGGTGACACTGTCGGTGGGGGTGACATGGGGTGTTTGGTGACACTGTCGGTGGGGGTGAGGTGGGGTGACAGAGGGATGTGGAGGTGTGGGGTGACATGGGGCGTTTGGTGACACTGTCGGTGGGGGTGAGGTGGGGTGACAGAGGGATGTGGAGGTGTTGGGGTGACATGGGGCGTTTGGTGACACTGTCGGTGGGGGTGAGGTGGGGTGACAGAGGGATGTGGAGGTGTTGCGGTGACATGGGGCGTTTGGTGACACTGTCGGTGGGGGTGAGGTGGGGTGACAGAGGGATGTGGAGGTGTTGGGTGACATGGGGCGTTTGGTGACACTGTCGGTGGGGGTGACATGGGGTGTTTGGTGACACTGTCGGTGGGGGTGAGGTGGGGTGACAGAGGGATGTGGAGGTGTTGCGGTGACATGGGGCGTTTGGTGACACTGTCGGTGGGGGTGAGGTGGGGTGACAGAGGGATGTGGAGGTGTTGCGGTGACATGGGGTGTTTGGTGACACTGTCGGTGGGGGTGACGTGGGGTGACAGAGGGATGTGGAGGTGTTGGGGTGACATGGGGCGTTTGGTGACACTGTCGGTGGGGGTGACGTGGGGTGACAGAGGGATGTGGAGGTGTTGGGGTGACATGGGGCGTTTGGTAGCACTGTCGGTGGGGGTGACGTGGGGTGACAGTGGGATGTGGAGGTGTTGGGGTGACATTGGGTGTTTGGTGACACTGTCGGTGGGGGTGACATGGGGTGACAGAGGGATGTAGAAGTGTTGGGGTGAGATTGGGGAAGTTGTGGAGTGACATTGGGGTGTCACAGAGTGACATTGTGGGCATTGGGATGTTGTGGGGTGTCATTGGTTGATGAATGGGAAGTTCACAATAAGCTGTTGTGAATCAGTATGTGGTGCTTTTTTCTGGGGAGTGTCTCACTTTACACCTTTACCACTTTGATTCAGATTTTCCTAGTTCATTGTCCTGTAACCCGGATTCCTCAAAGACCCTTTTTGAGTACGTGCATGGCATATTTTCTGGAAAAGCATATTAAAGTGCTAACAGGTGGTTTGATTGTGCCAGGCTGAAGCTGTCAAATTGGAATTTGATGACAAAGAGTATGTGGTGCTGACATTGTCACCAGTTACTTTGTAGGGCTAAAAAGGACAGCCTTGCTATGTGCTCCTTTGGAAGAGGAAAGCACGCTCTCCTGGAGGCCAGGAGTTCAAATTGCCTTTATCATAGAATCATAGAAGATTAGGGTTGGAAGGAACCTCAGGAGGTCATCTAGTCCAACCCCCTGCTCAAAGCAGGACCAACCCCAATTAAATCATCCCAGCCAGGGCTTTGTCAAGCTGGGCCTTAAAAACCTCTAACGAAGGAGATTCCACCACCTCCCTAGGTAACCCATTCCAGTGCTTCACCACCCTCCTAGTGAAAATTTTTTTCCTAATATCCAACCTAAACCTCCCCCACTGCAACTTGAGACCATTACTCCTTGTTCTATCATCTGCCACCACTGAGAATACCCTAGCTCCATCCTCTTTGGAACCCCCCATTCAGGTAGTTGAAGGATGCTATCAAATCCCCCCTCACTCTTCTCTTATGCTAAGTGCCGTTTAAATTCCTATGCAGTTAACTACCCTTGTTTTTGCTAAGGCCATGAACCCCACCAGCAGACAGTGAAGAACCTCTGAATACTCTCCTCACATTGTTTAAATAACTTAGCCGAGAGTTTACGCCTAGAATGCCAGTCTTTCACATGATGAACCCCAAACTTACCGACTGCACCACACTTCCTTTCAGAAAGGAAAACCAAACCTGATTTAGGCAATATCTCTAAGCACTATGAAGAACACACTTCTCTACAGAGACAGGGCTAGAATCCAGGATTACTGATCACCAATATTCTATTGGTGGCTAGTAAACAGTTGTGTAACCCCCGGGAAAGTGTGTCTCAAGTAGAGCTGGTCAGAAAATGGTTTGTATTTGTTTTTTTTGTCCACTGAAAATCCTCATGAAAACAAAGAAAAAATACTTTTCATTGAAATTTTTTTACAGAATATTGTCAGCAAAAAAATCAAACTCCAAAATACTTAGACCAAAAACTGACAATTTAACTGAAAACCAAAATACTTGTATTCTGAAAGGCCACCACAGTGCCTCAATGCTCCCATTCTCCTCTATTACACGAGTTCATTGTTTGGACTACATGGCCTATGCTTTACTATGAGCTATGATATATAAATTACGGTGTGAAGCACCAAAATACATGGTCCACATTTCAGGCATTTGTCATGGATTTCGCTTGTGTAACCCACCAGTCCAAGTGTGTTGTGTCCATTCTTTGTGCCCAGTTCACAGAGGATGTGAGTCTGTGACTACTCTCAGCTCGAGAGCCTGGCTCTTTAGCATAAGCTGTAAAGATTCAGATGTTTAGCCCTGGAGGTTATTGGTTTCAATCACTAGAAAGCGTCAGTTGATTCCTTATTCATGATACCAGCTCCTTATTCCTGGTTCTCAGTTCCTTATTCAAAGGCCAAAATTATTTAAAAATAGATTGCTGTAAGATTAAATTTTAGAAATGTCATCAAATTAACAGTAATGTGATAACATTTAATTTACAAATTCCTTAATTACTAATTAAATAATCAAATATGGAGCTGGGTGCTGGTTGCTTGGTTGTACATGAGAAAATATTTTTTGAGTCACCACAAATGACACATTCCCCGCAACTCTCGGACTGGTCTGAAGGAGCTGTGACATGCCACTTGTTGACCCAAAGCTTTGTTCTTGGGCATTATGCTGCCACATGTCACATCCCCAGCCCACATCCATTTTGTACATGGAGTTTGAATAAGGAGCTGGGGTTTGACTGGCTGTAAGTGACAAAATATATATTGGATCACCCCTGCAGCCTTTATTCTAGTTTGAAGAGATGAGGATATGCCACTCCCAGAGGTAAACCTTTATTTCTGGTCTGACAAATATATTACCCCAATTTTTATTTTGTATTTTCTTTTTTAGTAAACATACAATATGCATGCATAAAATTAACACCCCCCCCAAAATTGACCAATTTGTTGCAAATCCATCTGTAATGTTTTAACAGACATTATATGATTGCTATAAATTAAGAAGTTTAGTGGAATTTTGGGGTTTTTTTAGATGAATTAAGAACAGGACAAATGGCAAAATTTATGAAAACTTGTTTAATTTAGTACAGATGTAAAGCATTGGTTTATGATTAGTGCTGTGTCTTTTGCTCCTTTCATCACAAAAGTAATAATACATTGCTTAGGCACAGTTGTCTCCCAAATAATCATGTTTATTAACTCTATGCAAACATACGAGGCCTAGCTTAATGCGTACTGCTGCTCTGAGTGATTTCTGATGGCTTCTAAAACATAGAAAATAGTGAACATTACTACATGCTCACAAATGGCTTAAATGAATATTACCCTTTTCTGTATGCTACAATTAGTTGAGTCAGCTAGTGTCTTTAGTGTTGCTGAGAACCTCGTAAACAGCAATAAGAAAAGGAGGACTTGTGGCATCTTAGAGACTAACAAATTTACTTGAGCATAAGCTTTCATGAGCTACAGCTCACTTCATCGGATGCATTCAGTGGAAAATACAGTGGGGAGATTTTATACACACAGAGAACATGAAACAATGGGTGTTACCATACACACTGTAACTGTAAACAGCAATGTAGATAGTTGAGGGTCACATTTTTTAATCTTTCTGTGATCAGACTTAAGTGCAAGTGTAATTAATAAGATGCCTGGTTCACCATTAATTCAATGATGGGTATGCAGCTGATGTAATCCTTTGCATTTGTTCACTTTGACTATGAAATTGTAAAACAAGTAAATTTGCTATTTATTATCATAAAATATTGTAATTAATTGAGCAATTGTTGCTGCTGTTGTTCGAGGTGATTACTGGTGACACCTAGATTTAAGCATTCCTAAGGATTTGAATGATAAGATCCCATTTTGCACAGAAGGGAAGTTTCTTTATACATTTCTGCGTAGAATTGTGCAAAATTTGGTGCTGCCTTCCTCTCCAGAAGGAGTTTTTTTATGATCTGTAATCCTGACTGAAACAACTACTGTGCCAAACTTCTACATGGAGGGGAAACTTCAACAAAGGTGTGTGTACAGAAAGACCGGTAACAGGCTTTCATAGTAGATTCAAAGATTTCACTGTTTACCCCTTTTCCCAGATCATTTATGAATATGTTGAATAGGACTGGTCCCAGTACAGACCCCTGGGGGACACCACTATTTACCTCTCTCCATTCTGAAAACTGACCATTTATTCCTACCTTTTGTTTCCTATCTTTTAACCAGTTACCAATCCATGAGAGGACCTTCCCTCTTATCCCGTGGCAGCTTACTTTGCTTAAGAACCTTTGGTGAGGGACCTTGTCAAAGGCTTTCTGGAAATCTTAGTACACTATATCCACTGAATCCCCCTTGTCCACATGCCTGTTGACCCCTCAAAGAATTGTAGTAGATTGGTGAGGTATGATTTCCCTTTACAAAAACCCTGTTGACTCTTCCCCAACAAATTATGTTCATCTATGTATCTGACAATTTTGTTCTTTACCATAGTTTCAACCAGTTTGCCTGATACTGAATTCAGGCTTATCAGCCTGTAATTGCCGGGGTCACCTCTGGAGCCCTTTTTAAAAATTGGGTCACATTAGCTGTTCTCCAGTCATTTGGTACAGAAGCTGATTTAAATGATAGGTTACAGACTAGTTAGTAGTTCTGCAGTTTCA